TAGCTCATTGAAACCAGGCCTGGATAATTCGAGTGCAAACCTCTGTGGCAATGACCTCTTTCATACTCAAATAGTCCCAAAGCTGCTCGAAGTGGCCCAGGATTTCTATTTCCAAGAGGGAGGCACCTGGCTTGATTCTAGACGCCATGGCTGTACCGTTCTCCTCCCGTTTGACCAGGATGAGACCATCGTGGATCTTCAAATCTTCGAGAGACTGACAAACGTTATTTTCGTTGGGCGCAAACGGGTGGCCGCGGTAGTAAATGCGGTAGTTATCGAAGCCCGTTGCTTGCCTGATGGTGGCTAAAAGGGAGGCGGCTGTATTCTGCCGTCCGACTTCGAGAGGAATGATGTCTGTCTGCTTGTTCCCATCGAAGGACTGGACTTTGAGCTCAGCTGACTCTCCTTCGGCTATACTCGGCGAGCCAGGTGTCAAGGCGCGGAGGTCGGGAGCAGAGAAGTGGTCCTTGGCTTGGTGAGCTTTCATAAAGTGCCGCAGAACCGCAAGAGATCGGCTAAAAGTTCGCTCTTGTTCCAGAGTCTGCTCCTCGGTTGATATGATAGCCATAGACTCATCGTCGCTAGGCTTGCTGCCGTCGGAAGCCTCCAGCCGCTTCGCAGCGTCTAGCATCTGCTCGAGGCATCGATTTACGAGGCCCAGATGAACCTGGCAAGCTCTGTGATGAGGGTATGCCATAATAGACTTACTATCGACATAGATGTCACCTACGAGCGTCTGAATCGCAGCATCCACGAATGGCAGGTCTTTGGCAACCATAACTCCATCTTCAGCGTCAAGAATCATGCGCCAAAGCTGTTCAACTCCGCTCTGCGCGAGACTCTCAACGTCATCCAGTATGATATCATTGATGTCATTGACACGGGGAAGAACGGCGTTTCTGACGAATTCCAATGCTCCTCCGCAGAGACAATTGCGGGGAAGATTCGGTAGGTAGTCGCTGAAGCAGACTAATAGGAAAGGGTTGCCAAATGCTGTTTTGGGGAGGGAGTTCAAAATCTTCCAGCCGTCGTCCCGATCGTCTTGACTCGCTGCACCATGGCCCACAAGCATATCCCAAAGGCGTGGACCCAGGTCTGATGTGACTGTTGACGGCTCGTAAGCCAGGATATTGGTAATGAGATCTCTTCGAGAATGGTTGACCGCCCCGCCGAGGGTCCTTCTGATGCCATTGTGCTTCCCTTGCTCAATCGCATGCTCAAGTTCGTCAATAACCAATGATGTCAAGTTATGGTCTGTCGTCAAGGTTCGTAGCTCGGACGCCACAGCAGGCCGTAATGCCATTGAGAGACATGACAAAGTGCCCAATGTCGTCGATGTCTTTGCAGCGATATCTTTGATGCAGTCGAAGTAGATCTCTTTCCGCACTTCGGGTTCAATACCGTCTCTCACTAGTTCTCTGAACTTGTTCATTGCAAAGTGATGAACGTCTGGGTAAGCAACGACCGAATCCGAAACATATATCGAGGATTCTCGCAAAAGTCGGATGCAGATACTCAACGGCAGCACGCTCTGCGACTCGCCCGCAATTTGGGTTTTGTGCTGAAGAGACTTCAGGCTTTGGTCGCAAAGACCCCGTAAAGATGCGGTGAAATTCTCGATGGGCAAGGTTTGCATCTTCTCGCACAAGTAGTGCAGCTCCTCCTTGGAGAACAAGTTTGTGATGCCCGTTGTCATGCGAATCAAAGCTTCTGAAACTCGTGGATCTTGAGCAGTGGTGATGGTCTGCCATAGCAGATCGGTTTGCCCGCTACGATATAGGCGAGTAACGACCAGGAACCCGACGATATTACCGCTCTCGACTGTGATTTCGGGATGGCATGTCGGTCCCAAGATGTAGTCGACTAACTTGGTTCGAAGAAGGTACTCGGCCACGTAATTCAAAAACTGCTTACACTCCTCATCTTCATTGTCGCTGTACCTCTTCCAGCAGGTAACCAGATCATGGCACATGTTCGATGCTGCCAGGACACGCAGCTGCATCTGACTCGACGTGATGAGCTTTCCGTATATTCCAAGTCGCCATTCCAGCGAGATGGCCTCTGGGATGAATTTGGAGGGCAACTCAGGGTGTTTTTGCTGGTACGCTCTCAGGCGCTCTGTGGCCAGTCTGTGTTCACCGTTGAGGCAGATTTTGAAAACCTCCGAAAGCGAATGAATGAGATTTGTTGTCGTGTCGTTTGAGAGCTGAGTTACCTTGTTTTCGATCGTTGCGGAAAACGCGTTGGAAGCTAGGTTGTACAGCAAATGACCGTCCGCCACTCTTACTTTCGCCATCTCTAGGCTCTGGGGGGAGGCTTCTCGGTGGATACCCTGAACAACCTTTTGAAGGATATGTGCAGCAACGCTGCAAATCGGCGCGAGTACGTCCATCAAATGTTGATATCTCGGCGCATTGCTCAAGTGTATCTGAGCTAGCTTGATCAATCCTTTGATACCACCGATTCCCGCCTGGAAAGTGTTCAGCATGTCAGTGCTGAGCAGCTCTTCGTCGGGTATTTGACCGTTCTGAGCCCGGCTATGTTCTCTCTTAGCGAATGACGTCAAGGGCTGCAAAAAGCGAAAGAGAAGAAATTCCGGCTGACGCCGCTCGTCGCCTGGAGACATCTGAAAAGCCTGAGCTGTGATGAAATCGAATTCGACAAAATGAGCGGTCATCCTGGCATAGGCGTGAAAAAATTGGCCAATCGTTTGCCGTGTTTCCAGTGGGATAGGATGTCTGAAGAAGATGTGTGAGTAAGTAATCATTTAAATAAGACGAATCAGAGTACTTACTTTCTAGTCGCCAAAGCCCAGGCGATTTCGGGAAACATGTGCCAAAAGGTGTGATAAGCCACTTGAGACTCGTAGGCGACCCTGCCACCAACAAGGCCAACGTATTTGACGTATGAGACCATCCAGGCATACAGAGACTCTAGCACAGCTTCTTCCGGGGGCGCTTCTATACTCAGTTAGACCGGTACAAGCTTTCTTGAGCTTGAGCTTGAGCTGCACAGCACTCACGGGAACTTAGATATTGAACTAGCTTCGTGACAGTATCAGGAAGTGACTCGTGAGCCTCGTGGTACGGAAAATCGGGGGTAGGGTCGAAGGATGCAGCATCCTCGCGAATGATACTGACATCGTCGTCGTACGGAGCATCCTGGTCATCGTCGGTTATTGCAACCACCTCGACCTCGGGGCTCTGTGGGCTTGACGACGAAGAAGGTGGGGTATCTGTGATCTCGATAGGAGCTTGCGCCATGTCGACTTCGCCCAGGTCTTCAACGCTCTTCTTCACACCTTCCGAAAGTTCAGTTGGTGGGTCTGGTATGGTCCGGGGTGTCGGCGAGACAGGAGAGGAGGAGAGAGGATCGGGCTGGGTGGCATTGCGTAGGTTTATCGTGACCCGGCTAGAGGAAGGTTCTGTCGGAGGCTCTCGAACTGTCGACTGCCGTTCTGGTGTTTGCGGGGTAGAGGAATGTGTGTCTATCTTCATGGCAGAGTCTTGTGTGGCAGCTTCGTCGGGGCGGTTTGCCGCTGGTGAGCTCGAGGTATCGATGCTCGCTTTGGTACTGTCGACGGAGAGGCTCCGGGAGCCACCAGACATGGACGTTCGGCGTCGTTTCCTAGAAGAATCGTCGCCGTCGGTGAAGGGGTTCGGCCTCGTTGAGCTAGGCTCTGAGGAGACCGCGCGATCTGGTGCTTCCGAGGATCCTGTTGGTAGGTCCATCTGGTTGATGCAATGAAGTATTGCAGCGCGGGTCCTGGAGCTCCAGAGACGTCACTCGGGCGCGAGAGACGACTCGGTAGCAGCTGGTCGAAATTAGCATGTGGGTTCTTTTGTAGGCTGGTAGTGATGATTGGAGCCGCGATGGAGGTATGTTGGCGTAGTGATGATGGGGGGTTGTTTTTTTTCTCTTGGAGAAGTGGATAACAGATGGTGATCAGGCTGCAGCAGCTTGATCCCTCAAAGCAAAGGCGAGAGAAGGTAAGGTGAAAAAGTCGGGGAGGTCGGCGCTAAGATGCCAAGGTGAGGGTGACAGTGACGATAGCAACGTGCAGGCTGAGGTCTAACGCAGCAAGAACGTCAAATGGAAAGCACACGGCGGCGTGTCGAAGGTGGGCTTTTTTGGGGAGGGAGCAGGGGTTGCACGTCGGTCCTTTCGGGTACTTAAAAGAGACGCGGTGCAGGCGTGGAGGACGTGAATCCACTAGAGCTAAGAGCTTTGGAGGGGGAGGGGGGGACTCGTCTGTTTTGGAGACGAACAGATTGGGGGGAAGAGAGATGAGGTAATGAGGAAGAATGGCAGAGACCTAGGTACCTGCTTTGGTGCAAGATTTGGAGGAGCAGGGCATGTACCTTACCTTTGGGTGGTGGGAGTGTTGGGAGTTGTAGCTCCCGTCTGTGAGAAATGGAACCTTTGAGCTTCCGGTAAATCTTGGCTCGCGTTATGAGATAAGTAAGGTACCTAGTAAGGTGTGTAGCTACGATAGCTTGACTATGTACCTTACCTCAAGGCGCTTGGCGAAAAGTAGGTAGAAGGGCGATGCGCAGGTGAAAGATGTTCGGGAGTGAAAAGAGCTGGATTGAGTCTGAAGAGAGGTGTTAGATGAGCATTGGATGTCTGCCTTTACATAATTTTTCTACTTGCGTGACAGACCCAAGGCATACCTCTCTGGGTCTCTCTGGCTTACCTACCTAGGACAGCACTCGCCGGTCAGAGTGGTTGAGGATAAGGTGCTGGCAGAAGCTTTTGGACGATAAGATAGATCCTCGAGATGATAGGTGCGGGGTGGGGTGCCGGTGCAATGCGAGGTCTTTGGTGCCCATGTGGCTCAAGCTCAAGGAGAATAGGTACCTACCTACCAGAACGAATAATCAGGGCACCAAGGTACCTGAGGCACCAGAGACGAAAGTGGAGACAGCCAGAGATGGCGGGACCTTCTAGGCGTAGGTAGATAGGTACCTTGCAAGTTGCACATCAGGCTCTCGCGACACATGGAAGGTGACGGCCACATCAAGCAGCCCTTCTCTTTGCTGACCATCACCTTATTTTTGCTTTGCGATGAATCATTGTCGCTACATTTCCAAGGAGTTCCATCTTTTGCTTGGAAGAACAATTACAATCTGATAAATTGGCACCAGACAAGCGGCCAACTCTGCTTAAGTACTGAAACTACAATCTGTCCACAGGTTGTGGCTCACGGGCGAGGGAGGAGCACAAATCATGGTCTGTACCTGCCTAACTCAAGTTACACAAATAGACAGGACAAGAATGGGAAGCTACATAGAAACAAGTAGCGGTCAATTGTATTTATGAAAAACTTCAGCTCTCGTCTCTTCCTAGGGAGAGGTTTCGGCCTTTCATTCACGAAATGCATCCAGGTAAAGAAAGGAATGGCCATACTCCAGCAACGTGAGACAAAAAAATGAGGTATTGTCATTGAACAATGCACTCAGGTACAGCAACCAGTGAGTGACCAGCCCAAAGACGTTGACACTAGGTAGTGCACCTTGTCAAGGACATTCTAACGCCCAAATGCGACTTGAAGTCAAATGTGCTCGTATCTCCAAGTTTGGCCTGAGCTCTGGAAATGCGCCAAAGGAATTTTGGCCGAGGGTATGCCGTCAAATATCATAATCACTCTTTAGCGTCCACTGACCAGAGTTGGTCAATCCATACTACTTGAAATGTCAAGATGCGCCTATGGAAGCTCGAACAGCATCGTCTTCAGTGTCGAAGTCCCTTGGAGAGCACGAGATAGAATGGAGTTCATGAATCTCGACAGAGAGTCCTCCGTACTTCTTTGGGCGAGAGGTGACCCTGGATGGGTAGCTTGGTTCATAGCAGGCAGCAACCCAAAGCCGGGCTCCTCCATGTTCCGGTCTACCTAGTTCCATCCATAAGGTACGAGTGTCTGTACGGGATCAGTCGGAGTCCCAGCTTGTTATTACATCGGCGACCTTGGGTATGCCCAGGGCAAAATGCCTAGGTAGAGCAGCCTCCGACCCGCCCCAGAGCATTGTCACATTTGAGTCGTCTCATATGAGCACTCTCTTTCGGAGTCCAGTCTCGTATCGGAACCGACCAGATGACACATGAAAAGCTTCCGTCAATTTGGTCATAAGTCAACGTCGCATTCGGCCTCTCGGCGACCCTTGCGCGACCCGGCTCTTCCATCCGCAGCTGTCTGTCCGTGCCCCCCCGAGGGGCTTGGAGCTCATGCGGGGCCGGTATTCTTAGCGGCCCATGTCCATGCAAACTCGCCTCAACGACCCCAACGTCGACATTCAGCCGACTGCCCGCATCGACATCATTGGGATCAGGTACCTCAGAGAGCTCAAGAGGGCGTCCAAAGGCCCTAGTCAAGGACCGACCTCTGTCACTACCTACTTTCCAGCCGTGTGCCAAGCTCCTGGCCCGACTCATCATCACCCTCCAACTTCCAAAGTTTGAAGCTTTCGATGCCCGTTCATCTGTTTCCTTCCTCTAATGATCCATCATGTGGCGCTAGTGCCACCTCGCTTATCTGTCTATCGGCCGCTAAAGCCAATTAGTCCCCTTGTTGCTTCCGACTGACGAGTTTTATTTTTGTCCTTATTTCTTTTCTTTGGGCAACGACTCGCAAGTGTTGGTATTGACCCCTCCAGCCGTGCATTTTGGTCAACAGCTCATTGCATGACACCTCCTGCTATAATTATCCCGATTGGAAAAGCCAAGTTCAACTCGATTGTTTGCTGTTTCCTACAAGCATCGACCAAGCCTTACGGGCCAATACCCATCCATGAAATTGAACTTCTCGAGCACCAGCCACCCAACTCCAACCTTCGACTTTTGATTTGCTAGCCCCTAAACTACTTCCAGTGGACCGTCAAATCCAACGTCTCTCAGTTGCAACAGATATTCACAGGGCTACCATTACGCTCTACTCGTCTGCTCATTCGGCTGCTTCACCTGGAAACTCACTCTCTGGGGCACGGTGCTGGTTTCGCTCCCGACTCGAGTCCTTGACTTGCATACCAGACGACCAATCGTGACGTCTGGTCACGTTGAATAAGACATCAAAATGGCCAACCAACTGCGTAAAAAGTTGGTGCATTCAGTTGGCACACCGTTTTCAGCAGTACAATGGTAGGAGTGCTTTTGACAGGTCTATTTAAGTACTCGAATTGCTTACACACTACAGGCCCGAGGTCGCCTTTGAAGATCAAGACGCCATTCTAGAGTTACTTTGCAGGTACTTCTTGAGATTCATACTCGGGCTACTGGCTCGGGCTACTGGCTCGGGCTACTGGCACGTGTCTACATTGAAATTGAGCTGACCAGACACACAGTCTGTTGACACCACTGGGTCAACACCGCCAAAGGCATGTCAAGCCTTCGGAAGGCAAACGGGCCGCCAAAAGGAAGAGAAAGGAAGAAGGAGCTGCTGGCAAGGAGCCCAAGAAGAGCGAACGTCCACCACTGCCAGAAATCGCCTCTTTCGTCGACGTTGGTCTAGCAAGCATCACCCGTAACCTCGAACGACTCGCATCGACGCAGCAAGGATCAGAGCCAGACACCGATGGAGCCAGCACGGCGGCAGTCCCCCCTGCTCGATATGCCCTTATATTCGTCGCCCGCTCCGGCCAGTCATCGGCCTTCAACTGTCAACTGCCCCAGATGGTAGCCGTGGCCTCCAATACCGCTGCACCAGCGTCTGCAACAAGACTGGTCGGATACTCCAAGCCATGTGGCGAGAAACTCAGCGCTGCCGTCGGTATCCCGAGGGTCTCGTCGATTGGAATCCGGGTCGGTGCCCCCATGTCGAAGGCGCTGGTAGACTACGTTCAGAAGCACGTCTCGCCTATCCACGTCGCTTGGTTGGACGAGGCAAAGGATGCTGTCTACCGTTCCACGCAGTTGAAGGTGGAAGAAAAGATGGTACCGGCCAAGAAGAGCGGCAAGGCATAAGATAATAGGAAACGCCAAATTTCTGCTCGACTTGAAAGAACTACAGCGAAATACAGATGGTGATGAGATACCCATAGCTCGCCCAGCAATGCAAATCGACCTGCCAACTCGAATACCCAGATTTTCCCATTCTGCCCTCGCTGAATTAGCTTTTATTTGATGGTATGCATATGCTAGATATTCGAGGTAAATAAGGGGACCGATTGTCAGTACATGTGCCTCTCCCATCCACTCATGACGAGGAAGAGCGACGCCCACAAATGTAAGCGAAAATTGTCTTGTATAGGTGCTTTGGCATTATACTGGCTCCCTGCTTGATATCTAAAGTAGACGTCTCTTCTTCTTCTTCAACATGAACCTCAGCTGACGAGTGCCAGATAAGGCGGGTATCCAACAAAGAGCTCTCTGATTCCTCTGTTTTGTTACTTTTGCTGCAGCTATGTGTTAGCCCTTCACGCCCAGCCTAGCAGCCCGTCAAGCCTTCCCACATGAATCGGTGGCCCTATGAGACAAGAAGAGCAGCATACTTCTACTCTCCAACATCATCTGGTGATAGTCCTCACACCTTCCCAACAAAAACATTTCTTCAGTCCCATATACTTGTCCCAGCAACCGTCCCAAAGACCCATTCCGTCCCATTATCTGTTGCCGTCTCATTTTTCTCTATGCCCTAAGCCGGGTGAACCATATTTGTTTACTCTGATTTTTCTTCCAAAGCAACCTGCCTATGCCTGCCTTTGACCCCTGGATTTTCTCCCAAGCTCCTACCTTCCTCGAAGATCACCTGCCCCAGCAACCTTACCTTCCCTTTTTGTCCAGGTTGGCAAGGCAAGCTATCCTTCCTCGCTGGACCACCGGGCAAGGTTTCTTCTCTATAGCTCACAGACAGTCTCGTGTCCTTGCACTCGACTACTCTTCTCAGCGCTCGTCAGTTTTACCTACCCAAGTTCCTATCCAAACATATCTGGTTTCCCACCTTGGGCGCCGTCTCCAGCCAACATTCACATTGACGCTGAATTTAGCAGGACACCAACAGACGAGTTTTCTCTTTCCAGCAACGAGAAAAAGGCAGAGAAAGAGGCTCTACCTAGGCACGGTGAGTACTAAACATCCTCTTCATTTCTTTCCTTCAAGGTTCATCTACTCGGTTGAGGGCATTTCTCTACGAAGGCCCCTTCCTTGGGATAACGAGCTTGATGTCGCGTATGCCTTTTCATAGTTTTATGCCTTTCACAATCATGACAACCTGTGCCGAAATCTTCGACTTCAACACTTTCTATATCTTCTGCATTGCGTTTGCTGAATGCTTCCAAACCATTGACCATTGATCGGCAGATATCCCGGTCTATTTCCAGGTGCAAGGAGGAATTTGACACTAATCAAATCACTAGACATCTATTGGAGAAAGTTCTGAACTATCAGCTACAGAGGACGTGCTGCCAAAATGTTTGCCAACATGGACCCCAAGAAGCAGGCTGAACAGATGGCAGCAGCAAGAGCTCTTGCCGCGGAGTTCAGCAAAGCCAAGGGAGGCAGCAGTAGGGGCAGGAACAGCGGACGAGGACGCATGAACGATGGCGGCAGTGGCAGCAGGCCTGGCGGCATCGGAAGAGCAACCCCTACTCGATACGATGCTCCTCCGACTCAGATGAGTGAGTCGACTCCTTGAGAGACCATTGTTCAATTTGCTAATCCTTGCAGACCGTCCTATGCCTTCTTCTTCGCGTGCTGTCTTCACGCAGCCGCAAGTCAATCGAGCCAGAGTCCAGCCTTCCGTCGTCACTCGTGTCGATCCCACGCTCGCGGGTTGGTTGGCAAACACGCCTCAGACTGGTCCAGCGACGCCGGTGACGCCCACGATGCCGACGATTCCCGCGAACACAGTGCCTGCTCGCTCTGACGCTCCGATGGGAATCGATCAGAAACTCGCCAGCTGGCTTACACCCAAGCTTAGCCCGGTTGCCGCTTCTCCCAAGGAGACTTCGACCAGCCGTGCCTCGTCAAGCATACCTGTCACCAAAATTGATGGCCCTGAGACATCGAAAGCCGCCGTTCCCGGAAACGCTCAAGCTATCTTTCAATCTAACGCTCCTCCGCCTTCTCTGGAAAATGAGGCTGTCTTCCCTCCTGAGACGACTGTCCGTTCGAAGCCGAGTGGCTTTGGAAAGAGCTTGCGGATCGCTCACGAGGCAAAAGTCATCAGGGAACAGAATAATATGAGCGGAGTGGGAACTACTGCCAGTTCCAACTTGGATGCCAAAGCTTTCGCTCTTTTCGCCAAAGACATTGAGTTGGTGACACAGCCGCAGTCTAACCACAACGTACAGGCTCCTCGTCTTCCTGAAACCGTTCACCACGACAAGCAATATGCTGAAGCCTCCTCCTCCACGAAGACTGAGACCTCTGCTGTTAAGTCAGAGCTCAAATTCGGTTCCGTCGAATGGGCTCTGGCGCAGCTCGAAAGTGGCCGGGAACTTCCTGGCCACCATGAGTTCCACGCTCGCATGGCTCAAGAAGTCGGAAACAAGTCTGGCGCTGTGCCCGCCACTGATACTCATTCCGGAATTATCAACAACACTCAGCCCCTCATTGAGCAGCAGGAGACAACCGACGAAAAGAAAACAGCGGAGCCTCAGATGAAGGAACCCTACTGCAACTGCCCTAAGAGAAGCCACCCAATTATTGGCTTGGCGGCTTCATGCTACAACACGGATTCTGACGGCGATCATGACCTCACTCGCATGAAAGGTGCGTCGGATGCAGTGAAGAACAGGTTCGCGGTCAACGTAATCCTCCACGAGCACTCGAACCCAGACTGTCCCAAGCTGCTTCAGGCTGCTGCCCAATTCCCTCTTCACTTCGGCGCCAGCCCTGCCATTGTAGATGACCCCGACGATCATCTCCAGGTCATCCAATGGAAGGACTCGGACGGCGTATCCGGTCCCTCGAGCAGTGTGCCCGTTCGGAATATCAATTCATCTGGCCATCAGAACAACTCGCCCGGCGCTTCGAATAGTTTGGCTGTCGCCTTCAACAACTCGTCCGGTCCTCCTTTGGCTGGTGCTCCAGTCCCACAGCCGTCTGTCCGCCGCCGTAGAGGCATCAACGAATCGATGTGGGCTTAGATCGTCATCGGGATGCATCTCTCACCGTCGCCAACTCTGGAATGTTTGAATCGTTGCTCCTCTATGATCGGGCAACAATAACAAATCCTTTGAGGGGCACTACTTTGACAGGAAATGGACGCGATATGGATAGGCAAACTTCCGCAGCCGTATCCTCAGATTGTTGAAGTTGTGACAGCATCTCTGATCTCTCTTAGCACTCTTTAATGATGCCTTATAGCGGCAAGACCTTGAGCTGCTACAGAGAAAGGGCATGGAGGACGCCACTAAGCATCGTCGTCGGATCGTCGGAAGATGGTGGGGGTTCGACGAGGCAGAGAGAGTTCTTGATGATGAAGATGATGATGGAAGGTTGACTTTGATATTGGCTTTGGGGGTCTCTCAACTTGGGGAAGCGGAACGAGATATCTCGTACAGAAGCCGCCCTGTGCGTCTGGAGGTATTAGGTAGTCCGCCGCCCAGGTCACTTTGCTCAGGAATGATACCTCACAGGCCGTCTAGGTAGATAGTCAATCCACAGTTTCTCAAAATTCCATGAATGCCAGGGCTTGATTCAATATGAGACATAAAGGCACTACTAAAGGGATCATGATCGAACCTGAAGATGGCTCCGGTGTTCATGGGCGGTGTATGTAATATGTACGTGGTCTCTAAATGCCAAAGCCCGCAACACCCGTAAAAAGGTAACCCCTTTTTATCACTTTTTCCCATGTTTCCCAACTCCTTTTTAGATTTCGTTCGACTGATGCCTCAAACCAATTACACTTCATGCTCATCCTCATGCGCTATTAATCTCCTTTTCTAATAACTTGACACCTTCCCTAACTTTGGGCGAAAAGTGCCTCCGCAGAAGCTCGCCCTCCCACACCGTCGTCGCAAAGGGATTGCTTCCCTCGACGCTGTCGCTGAGGGCGTTGTAGTTGCCGTCGCCCTTGCGCTCCTCGGTACACCACAGCGCGGCAATCTTCTTGCCGTGGGTGTGTCCGACGTCTTGCATGAGCGCGAGCGCCGCCTGCGCCGACTTATCGGGCATGTGTAGCGCCGCGGACATGATTTGCTTGCTGAAGGCCGCGAGGCGCAGGGGCGGGACGGAGCGGATCTGGTAGGCTGGCAAGAGGACAGCCGTGAGGCAGCGCAGGAGGAGGACGGTGGTGGTTTGCAGGTTGACGCGGTTGTCGCGGGTGGCGGCGGCCTGGGCGGGGCGGATGTGGAGGGATTTGGAGGTGAGTTCGAGGTCCGGGTTGAGGGAGAGGGAAGGGAGGGAGGTGAAGAGGTGGGTTACGAAGTGGGAGAGGTCGAGGTGCAGCGCGGAGCGGGAGTTGTGCGCGTCTTGGCCTGCGAGGAGGGCAAAGGCTGTGACTGTGCAGAGGAGGGCTTCGCGGCTCGTGTTGCGGGATGCGCCGCCGAGGTCGTCGTCATCGTCGTCGTCGTCTTGTTCGTCTTGGTTCTCACCGTCGTCGTCGTCCTCCTCGCGGTTGGTGCCCTCTGCGTCCTCCTGGGCGTGGCGGATGAGATCTTTGAGGGCCTCCAGGAGATCGCCGAAGAAGTCCTGGTTGATGAGGTGGGCGTACTTGGCCAGGCCTTCGAGCACGGCGCCCATGAGCCACGGCACGCGCATCTTGAGGATGCGGAAGTAGGACGCAAAGACGAGTTTCAGCGTCTCGGACTGCATGCGCTCGCGCTCCTCGTGGCTGACGAGGGCGTCGGCCTGCTCCATGTCCTTTTGGATGGCCCTCTGCTCCTTGAGCATCTTGCGCTCCTTCTTGGTGCGGAACTCCTTTTTGAAGTTCTTGCGTGACTGAGGCGGGGGGGCACCCGGGTCGCGCTCCCGGTCGACGCGGTCTTGCGAGGCCTTGCCCGCGAACTCGTCGAGCAGGCGCAGGTGGAGGAAGAGGTTGAGCACGCTCTCATCGACGCCAAAGTTGCGGGCCTTCATCATCTTGGCGAGCAAGGAGACGGCCTCCATGGAGGGACGGCCCTCCTCGTCGTCGACGAAGAGCGTCTCGAGCGCGCGGCGGCACTTGTGAAAGTCGGCATCGATCTTGCGCTTGGAGAGCTTGCTGACGAGGATCTTCAGGAGGTCGTTGCGGAAGTTGAAGTGCGGGACGGCGTTGACGAGCGTGCAGGCGCACGAGATGGCGACGCTCGAGATGCTCTGCCCCGTTTTCCTCGTGGTCGGTATATCGGCCTTTGCCCACTTCGCGAGCTCCTTCACGTAGCCCTGGTACCCGGAGACGAGGGCCTGCTCAAAGGCGCGCAGCTTCCGGACCTCCTTGGAGAGCTTCTCGACGGGGGCGTCCTCGGCGACGGGCCGGATGCGGTAGCCCGGGATGACGTCCTTGTAGACGGCGAGCTGGGTGGCCAGCGCGAGCTTTTGAATGGCCTGGATACGCGACTGGCCAATCTTTGCAATGGCCTTGAAGGCTGAGACGTTCTCCTCTGGATCCTCATTCAGCGCCATGGCAATCTTGGCGAGCTCCTCTTTGGCCTGGTGGATCTGGACGGGCTCGGGCAGGTCCGACTCCTCCTCTTCTTTCCTACGATCCTGACGCAGACGTTCGTTGGCCGCCTCGGCGGTGGCCTCCTCGTCCTCACGGCCCTCGAGCCACTCGCCGTCGCTCGCGACCGAGTCGGCATCGTCGTTGTTATCGTCGCCCTGCAGGGACCGGTACTGCTCGAGGCGGCCGTCGGCTGTCTTGATGGGCAAGCGGGTGCTCTCCTTCTTGTCCTTCTTTCCCTTGCGCGGGCGGCTCTCATAGTCCTGCTCTAGGTTCCAGCCGGCAGCGCTCTTGAAGAAGGACTTTTGGATCTTCTTGGACGACTTGCCGGTGTGATCGTTTTCGTCGTCGGGCGGCGGCGTGAGCCTGCGGCGTTTTGAAGCTCTAGAAGACATTTTGGGACAACGGATTTGTTTGGAATATCAACCGGAAGGGATAGAACACTTCGAAAGGAGTTTGTTTTGTGGGATTCGCCGCTTCGCTGGTCTTTAGAATGCTCTCGTCCTCGCTGAAAGAGAGATTTCTCAATGTACGGTGGGATTGAGTTGGGGACCCTGGGACCGCCAACAGCGGGAAGAGGGACCATCGAGAACTTTTTAGTGGAGGTTTTGGCCATTGAGCCAATGGAAACCCCGGAACACCCTCAGACCGCCCGAAATTTTTTGGGTTTCTGCCACTACTCCAACCTTTTTCGCATCGCGATGCACCTGCATCCCACCTTTCGGCAACGGCACCTCTATTGTGAAAGATCCTACCTATCCACCAACGCTCGCCGAGTCCCAATCCGATTACACCGATACCGAACCGAGCACATTCGAATCGAAATCAAAACACTACCAGAAAGCCCAAGATGCGTCCCCTCACAGAAAAAGAGACCGAGACCCTCTTCAACAAGCTGGCCAGCTACATGGGCAGCTCGCTGAAGAACCTCATCGCCCCGCTCGACAACGGTCCCGAGCCCGATCGTTACGTCTTCCGCATGATCAAGGACCGTGTATACTATGTGCGCCTCTCCGTCGCCAATCTTGCGACCAGCATCGCCCGCGATAAGCTTCTCAGCATCGGTATCTGCCTCGGTATGTTCCTCTGCGCGTGCAAGGCCAACCCCAGTTCTCAGTCAAGTCTTTGTGTATATATGGACTAACCACCGCCCCTTTTTCGCCATATAGGAAAGTTCACAAAGACTGGCAAGTTCCGCCTGCACGTAACCGCTCTTCCCGTCCTCAGCGAGCACGCAAGATACAAGATTTGGGTCAAGGTATGTCAGACTTCAAAAACCCCCAATTCGTTCGATTGGAGTCCGCGAAAGGAAGCATGTACAGTGGGACAGACATGCTAACAGGGAAAAAATCGTTCAGCCCAACGGAGAAATGCCCTTCCTGTACGGTGGCAACATCGTAAAGGCCCACGTCGGCCGCTGGTCCGACGACTGCCCCGAGCACCAGGGCGTCATCGTCTACGCCATGGACGACAAGCCCCTCGGCTTCGGCGTCACCGCCCGCTCCACGGCCGAGGCGCGCCGTCTCGATCCCACCGGTGTCGTCTGCTTCAGGCAGTCCGACGCCGGCGAGTACCTTCGTGACGAAGATACCCTCTTTGCGACGAACAGTTAGATGGGTCGGTCTTGTTATGAGATATTAGAAGAGGAGGGGTGTGGGGGGTCGTTGTGAGGTAATGGCTGTGGTGGTTGCGCTGCTGCTGCTGCTGCTCTCGATACCCTCTGGGTTTTCATGTTTGGCACATTTGGAACGGCGTTTTGGGTTCACCAAAAAAGAAGAGCTTGAAGAACGGCGGGGCATTTTCTACATGGCGTTTTACTGTGATTGTTGGTCATGGGCAATCTTGATCGTTTTACTTTTGGGGGGAAGAATTCGCAGTTAGCTGTTGTTAGCTTACGGCTCTCCAGGATTTGGGTCTGCGAAGACCTGCTGGCTGTCTAGCATATATTGCGAAATTTCATCGACTGCCATATCATGTTTTTTTGCAAGAAGTGTGGAGAAGGCAATGAGCCTCATATGCGATGGCTTGTTAATGACGTTGATATTCTTACGGTCAGTAGCGTCGGCTAGGATTTTGATGGTTTACTTGCCTTGTACTATGCGGTCCCTTGATATCGAGTTCGAAAACAGATTCTATAGCTGCGAGTGTGTCTACTTCAGCGCAGATTTGGACTATCAAATCTGATGGTCAACACTGCCCTAGAGTTGGCTTGCCGATCCCGTTCTACCTTCGCAAGGATTGCAAGGATTATCAAGTAAACACTCGGATGCAATGTTAATGAATTCTTAGTTGGCAATTGGGAATAAGGGCACTGTCTCTGCTGTGAATGAGCTTTTAGTTATCTTCTTTTATTGGATATCATAGATATGCCTGGTATATGTATATAGAGAGAGAGAGAGATTGAAAACATTAAATCATGCTGTATCCGTGACGATGCTCGTCATCATAAGACCAGATGGAAGGAAAGATTGAGTAAAAGACCCATCCAGAACGCTATCAACA